GTGAAAAGGAGTAACAAGTTGTTTGTTGTACTATAGCCATCTTCTGCCATGCCACGTGCCTGAAAAGCTGGTGTGTTACACTGATGGGTGGTTATAGTAACTGTTATACTGGCTATTCAGATACAGATACAGATGTGCACACTTAGCTAGCCTCCTTTCCAGGCGTTCCCAGCCGCTCGCGGATCAGCGTCTTTTTTTTTTGAGGGGGGGGGGCATTTTCTGATCAAATGTAGATCGCACGCAATAGAAGCTCCGGTCACCAACCCTACATATAGCCATCCCTGGAACACCTGCTTCATTTCAGTACCGTCAAAGGTCAACATCTGCGAGGAATGATTAACAGGAGAGAAGCACTTGTTTCACTTGACACTGTAAGGATTTTAGACACTGAACAAGACTATTTCTTGAGAGGGGTGAAGGAAGCCATTTACATCAGGGCCCATTACCCTACATTGAACCGCGACGGGGCCGACATCGTCTAGCAGATACCTTTGACCCAGTGTTGACGTCACACTTCAAAGAAGCCACGTGACAAGCTTCACTGGGTCAGTCTACTGAGGAAGACCAGAGTGACTGGTCGAAAGCTCTAGGTGAGAGAATTTTTTGTGTTGGACCAAAAGTTTTCACTTTAAACTGGAGAGAAGCAATTCACACGTCCATGTTATACAGGTAACTTGGCCCATGGGCTGCAAAAAATTATTGGGAGGGTGGGCTTGTTTACAATGTACCAAATTCACTTGATATCTGCTTGGTGTACATGTAGTTTCTTGCTGGTTTTTTTTTACAGTTTTGGGATTGCGATTATGCTGACCAGGCGCCATGTCATCCGCCACCAAGTACGCAAATTTTACCAGGGGCGGCGCGGGACGTCCAAAGTATTTCATTGAACTTTGTCTGACCAACTTAACTCTTAAGCTAACAAGAACCTTGTAATATTAGCGACCATGTTTTTGATCAGAATATCTGTGGATAAGCAGGACGTGCCCTTGTTTTTAGACCCTGTTCACATTCATTTTTTCTATTCGATTAAAAGGGCTATCCGAAAAGAAAATTGTCTATCCGAATCGACACCGAATCCACGAGAGCGTTCGCACTGCTTTTCGCCGATCCGAATTGCGCCCACCCGCGAAAGAATTGCCACATCGCTACGTCATATTTTCACCAAACATCTATATGTATCACGAGCCTCGCTTCGTAAACTCATATTTCGCAAGAAAATTTTACCAAGCCGCCACCTTCCCACTTCTCACGTACTGGAAACATTCCCACTACAAATTACCAGGTAAGATCACGTCAAAAATTAAAACAAACGCCTCTTTTCTTTCAATCACGAGACAAATAGTTTTGAAAAATAACTTGCTGCATCGTAGTTTTCATTGCTGTTTCATTCAACAAAAGTTCTCGTCAATTGTAAAATGATCACTCATCTGTTGTCTCCAGTAGAGTATCAACGGTAGCGTTATCATAGCGTGCCAAAAATTGGCGTCGAACGTCAGAAAATCCGGGGAAAAAGAAACTCGTAACCTGAAAAACCACCGGGCGCCATTTTCTCATTAATATGTAAGTAGCAGCTCGCGTTCTACGCTCTGATTGGTAAAACCGCTAGCAATGACGTCACACCGCCCAAATTGCGTTCACACTCGCGGTTTCGTCCGATTCGAATCCGCCGCAAGTGTCTCAAACCACCTCCTCGAGCTGGATTATTTTGGATTCGATTCGGGTAAAATCTAAGTGATTTGGAGCGTTCACACTCCAAAAATTATTCGGATAGATCATTTTCTATTCGGATAGCCCATTTATTCGGATAGGAAGAATGAATGTGAACAGGGTCTTAGTCTCGCATGCTTCCATAGGTCTCAAGCAGCGCACCATAAACACATGCCCCCACCCCGCGCCCCACGGCAACCACTGGTTGGTTTATTGCTCAAATGATCTTCTTAGATCATTTAAGATAGTTCTTTCAGTTACTTTTATACTGTTTCATCATAGCAAAATGAAGCAGGCATTCCAGGGATGGCTATGTAGGTTGGCGGCCAGAGCTACTATTGCGTATGATCTACATTTGATCAGAAAATCACCCCCCCCCAAAAAAAATGGCCGATCCCGTAACGCCTGAAAAGGAGGCTAGTGTGTCATGTGTGTAGGCAGTCAGTGTGAAGTGTATGGAGGAATGAATGGCATTCTTTTCTAAACACTGCTACATTAGTACTGGGTAGGAACAAGAAATAGGAATTACTCTTATTACACATTTCATGGCTCTATACAATAGATTTATAAATAGCAAGAATCCATTTCCGTGAATAGAATACCCTGTGCAGACACTCTACCTTGTGTCTTCTCCATAAAATCCCTGACTGCTGTTTCAGCATTTTCAATCACTTCCCAGTGAGAGAGGCATGCATATAGAGTGAGTACATAGAGGACATACGTGGTGAGTCAAAGTGCAGAGTAGAGTTATGCATGCAATAAGCTGAGTAAAAACAAGTGCAAGCAAACAGAGCATAGCCAGGGCAGAGGTCACATAGCTGTGTGTACAGTAGTGACAGTACTGCAGGGCACAGGAAAAGGACAGGACATCGTTACCACACTGCAGATAATTACCTCCAATATCATTATTCTCCAAGCAGAGGTTTGGGTTTGGGGGGTATTTTTAACGTGTTTTTAGGCTTTTTTATCGGGGTTTCCCTTTTGCACTGAATTTGTTGGGTTTGGTGGGAAAAAAATTCAGAGCAAAAAATTAAGAGAAACCCCGATAAAAAGCCTAAAAACACGCTAAAAATACCCCCAAAACCCAAACCTCTGCTTGGAGAGTACAATATCATCCTCTATGGCTGGGATGTCCAGATTGACAGGCTTTTTTCCTCCCAGACTTCTACCCTTCACATTTGTTTACCCAGTTTCGTGTAGAGGAATGATATTGTCGGTAGAAATTCTCAATCTGATGTCCTATCTAGACTCTAACTAATTTAGTCATTAGTGTATGAACTATGATCCAGTGTACAATATAGTAATGGGTGGTGCCCTAACTTTGGACATGCCCTAAGATCGGACAGATTTTTTACTGACATTATTTATTTATTATGCAAAAGTATGCCGTGTTTGTTGCCACTGGCTACTTTAAAAGGTAAATAAACATAGTCAATGCATACAGCTATTATTTGCATGCAAACTATAGTCCTATATATCGGTCATTTTCACTAAGGGACATAATTTAATAATAACATAACTTAAAGCTATACAAAACAGTAAAAATTTGGGTCCCCGGGTGTTTTTTAGTCGAAAACCGACCTGAGGAAAACAACATCAACACCAATGTCGTCTGCATTTCCCATGATTCCTGTGGAACTACATTCATTGCGTAAGCCGTGTTTTCAGTTGAGACATGACTGGACTATGTTCAATACAGCATCACGTGAGATGAGAAGTAGACACAATCGCAATTATAAGAAAGCTGAAATATCACAAAATTCAGTTCTTATTTCTGTTTCATCAACAACTTCTGAAGACACAAAACTACAAAAGTGTGTGAAGTTAGGGCACACTGTCTCACAACATCCACAACACCAATTAGGGTCAACAGGTGGAGCTCAAAATAGGTCATTTGACACATACCCACTACTGCAGCAATATGGCACAGGAGTTTCATTCAATGTGAAGGACTTCTCTGGGGGGCCTATTAGCACTGAGACAGCTAGTACAGAAGTACATGTACCATGTGTACACTGGCCTGGAAGTGGTCATTGCTGGGAGGACTGCTGTTTCTGCCCAGGTTTTCTTTTGAACCAAGAACCCTTTCCAGGGATTGGAGAAAAGCAAGATAAAAGAAACAGGGATGAAGTCAGAGATGACACAAGAACTACATGATAGCTTCCTAAGTGTGTCCAGACTTACTTCTCTTATAGACCTTGACTTTGCTGGGCGAGTTGTGGTCGTAAGGTGCTGTATTAGCAGGGCTGAACAGTCCCACCTTCCCATTGTGCAAGGATCCTTTCCACATTTCTGGCCTGAAAATCAAGCATTTATGATTTTTTTAATAATCATATCCTAAACTAAAGTTGCCAATCAATACTATAGTCAACATACATTATTTAAAAATACACACATGTTTTACTAATATGCAATTTAGAGGTCAACTTTTGACAGCTTTGACGACTTGGCAGCTTCTGACACTGCAGTTTTTTACAAATGAAATAAAAAAGCAAACTTGGAACAAATATAATGCGTACCGTACGTATGGACATACGTATGACTGATACTGTAAGTATCGTATACTTTCATGCACACCCCACCAGCAATTTTGTAAAAAGTACCTGTATTCTTTCCATATTAATGACATACACGCCCAGTTTTAAGTGCTAACTGATGACAACTTAGGTTGATGATGAAATGTTGAACGTAGTAATACTATAGCCTGGGTACCATCCGGATTTTTGCTCCACAGCGCTCGAAAAAATCGTTGCGGAGCAAAAATCTGGATGGTATACCCACTGTCCCAGGCTAGTAATACTACTAATGTTTACGTACGTCGATGAAGGTTAGACATCCAGGTAATACGATACGCCAAAAAACAGTTACTCAAGCAACTGGATATGATTTTTTCAAATGTGGAACTACATGTACATCATGATCATACATGATAGACATGCCTTATGTCTACCTCAAGACACTACGTAGGCCTACACTTGTCAATAATTTGATTCTTCATGTTAACAAATGAAAATATGATTTTTTCATATTTTTCAAAATCATATCCAGTTGCTTGAGTAACTGTTTTTTGGCGTGATGTTTACGTATTTAACATTACAAGACTGGGATTCAAGCAGTCCGAATGTTGGTGGGCTCTATAACGACCGGAAACATATGTTATCAACATAGCAGGATTTTTACTCTCCCTGAGTCCCTCCGTGAAGGAAGCCAGATGTTTACGAGTCATGCTTTTGGTGACTCCTGCTTTCAAACCTAACCCTTCCTTATCGCAGGAAGGACACAACGCATGGCCTTCGCACGATGAAAAACAGACAAAAAATCTGAGCTAAGGACTCTCTGGATTTACAGCCCAACAAATAGCTTACACATGGTTGATGGGAGTTTTGTTGGACTTCAGACCTATTCTAAATGTAGAAAGGCTGTGTTACAGTGTCAAATGTGGAACTACATGTACATCATGATCATACATGATAGACATGCCTTATGTCTACCTCAAGACACTACGTAGGCCTACACTTGTCAATAATTAGATTCTTCATGTTAACAAATGAAAATAACCCCTCCAGTTTTAGAAGGGGTAAAACTTTGGTGTCCATTCACTCTTGCCTTATGCTTTTGAGTAAAATCTACAAGACACTTTCATCATGCTGTGTTCATTGTTGTCTCATGTTACAAGTCATGATGTCCTGGTAGTTCTATAGATATGATACTGACTGGTAAATTTTCCAGAAATATTTCATATGATCTTCAGTGGCCAAGAGAGCTTACAGTAAGTTACAGTTGGGGACCCCCAAGCTACCAAGTACTACGTTCTAGTCATTATGGTACATTGTACATAAGTAGGGCCCACCAACCTTTCTTGTCTTCACATTCCAAGAATTGTTCTGCTGAAACTATTAGGACCAACTTACACATACCATACACAGTGTAATACACACTCAAAATTTAACAGACCAACATAATCCAACTTACCCCTTTTCTAGCACCGTTATGATTTCTCCAGCTTGGAAACAGAGAAAGTCTGGTCTGCTGGCCTGGTGGTCTGTGGCAGCTCGCAACTGTTGGGGCTTCATCTGACGGGGAGAGAAGGGAAGTGACTTCAGTCAGTCTGCCTGTGTCTGCTACATATTTGCATAACAGTGACCTCATCCCCCATAATTGGTAAAACCTGCATGCCCTGAGGGATTGTTCCCCGCCCTCCTTGGCTGGGAGAGTCCCATCAGGAAGTTGTCTGAGTAGGGTGTCTGCCTGAAGGCTGAAGGAACAGTCTGCTGGGATTCTGGACTGGGGCACTGCAAGGAGGTGTGCATGACTAAATCTGATTCAGTACATGATCTACATGTACACAAATTGAAATGGGACATATTATACACATTATACTGCCGCACATTTAGATTCTATTTGTTCGACCCAACAAGTCAAACTCCTTGTTGGTTCTACATCTTGAATAAAGACAGGCAAATTTACAATAGGACTGCCCCTTCTGTAGCAGTTTGCCTTCAGTTTGCCCTGGACTCCCTACATTTATCTTGTAATCTGGTATTTTGACATTTCTAGGTCAGCCTAGGACCTGAAACTTTCAAAATACAAAGTCATTTGATTTCTTCTTTGCCACATTGTAATGTTAGGGACTGTACGATAGTTTTAGCGGGGGGTGGGGTGGTTTAGGACCGGGGTTTAGCGTTAAAGAATTTTTCCTAGACCTCCCCAAGTAAAAAAATTTCCTCTTTTCTTAGTAGGCCCTCCCCACCGGCTCAAGAAATTTTTTCCTACAAGATTTTAATCCATGTAGTTTGGCTGTGTGGTCAAGTTTCGCCGCATCTTGGCAAAATGCAAGATTTCGAAGGGGATTGTTGGAGATTTGGGTGAATCTATAATTAGAATAATAGCAAGGACATTATAATGTCATATATGAGGGGGACATTATAATGTCCTTGATAATAGGGATGGATATTATTGGAATGTAACATACTGCCGATTCCAATGACCGGCAAATCGCTCACGATATGTTTGGGACAGACGTAGATCATATTTTAAAATTGTATAAAAACGTTGAAGAATCAAGGGTTTACGGAAAACCCTGGGCTGTCTACCTTGCCAGGCTACCTTACCAGTCTACCTTGCCTGTCTAGGACGTCAGGCTACTGAACTCCCCCCATCCACAGCCTCACGAATATGCAAGACTTCCAAGCAGCTGCGCCCCCTGGCGGAATGCATCAGAATTGCACCCACTACTTTGGCACATGCGTGTGCACAAACCTTAGGCCTGACTAATCGCGCTCCTGGCGGCCGGTCGCCCCCAAGTGGGTGGGGGGCATTAACCTCCGGCCGAGTTAACACAGCAAGAAATCTACTGAGGCGAATAGAAATATAAAACTGAACAAGATATTATATTTTATTTTAATTTTTTCTTCTGGAGTTTTAATGAGCCAAGGGTAATCAACAGTAACAGGGAAACGGATCTCGTGATTACGTTGAGAGCGAGCGGGTCAGAGTGTGTATTGTATCAGAACAGGGTGAATTTTTTACCTTTTGTGCGGGGGCAGCATTGTCCGTGCCGCACATCTGTAGATAATCTTAGGAACTGTACAATATTTACCGGGGGGGGGAGGGCTGGTGCAAAAAGGGTCCGGAAAAATTTTTTTCCATGGCCCTCGAGCTCCCCCTGCTCAAATTTTTTTAATGGCCCTCCCCCCAACCCAAAAAATTTTTCGGTAATTTTCCATGTGATTGTCTCTTTCTCCTTCCGAAAATTCCCGAATACAGTACGCATCCTGATCGAGGTACGCACCCCCCGATTTGGGGCTGGTGGGAGACAAATATTAATGTCTGAAACGTACGCACGGCCGGTACCACTGTGGACATGTAGTTCAAAAAAAAAATTCTTAAAAACTAGATTTATGCCGTGTACTACGTGATTGTATGGTAACGTAGCGGCCGGGAAACGCTTCGGCCTTGTTTTCACCGCTGGCCGCAGCCGACTTGTAAGACGTCGCCACCGCGAGGTAAGGCAAGTCCGGCAGAACGTACAGCTTTGGATCCCGGAGAGTGTTGGTGATCAAGCAAGCAATAGTCAATAAAGATTTGTGAAAAAAAGACAATATTTAAATATTGCTTCTATCTGTAACGGGGGGTAATTCAATGTTGATGTACAAGTACGTAGCTTTGTTGTTTTTAGAATACGAAATAGGCCGAACACTTCTTTAATAGCGCCCGCCCGATCGACCCTACCCTGGATGCCAAACTAGTATCGGGCCGTTAGCCTTTTTCCTTCGGCAGCCGAGAGCCCTTTGCCCGCCTGCCTAAATTACCGCTACGGGGGAGTTGAGCCCGATGGGAGTTGGCTGGCCCTAGAACGTTGGTCCGGCCAGCCAAACTCCCCCCGGGCTAGACTCCCCCATAGCGGTAATTTACACCAGCGGGCGAAGGGCTTTGGCGGCCCGGACAGCGAGTTTGGATTCCAGGGTAGATCGACCCATGGAGAGAAACAAACGGGCGGAGAACTGGGCGGAGTATTTGGGTGTAGAAGTGCTACCGAATTTAGAATTTCACACCGAAACCAATTACACAACAACAAAAGACTACTGGCGATTCCGAACAGGAGAAAGTGTAGTGAAAAGTTTGACTGCGTTTCAAGTACTAGTAATCTCGTTATGTGATACATGTAGATGTTTTTGTCACAAAATCAAAGGAATAAACACTCCAAGGGAATATTAATTTGTACTCTGTAAAATGTATAAGTACAGTCTGTACAGAGAGGAAAGAAAGACTTCCTTCTCTGGGCTGTCCTCAGTACTTCTACGGCTCTGTCTTCTTCAGCTGTTGGTGTCGGCTCGTCAAACACCCCACCCACCGGCCAGGCGGTAAGATTTCATCAAAGACTACATTTTAAGTTAACTCCGCCCCTATCATTGTAGCTTGCCGAACAGTCGGGTCCCATAGGAGTACATCTAGCTGGAATTTTCACCTCGTACTGGCTGGTATAGCCCGCTACAAAGTAATCTCCTGTTGCATTTATCAAGATTTAAAAATATTTGTGATACGAAGTGAAACATGGATAATAATTTCTGTCAACTGAACCTTTGAAACGGCATGGGCATAATATTTGTTGAAGTTCAACTCAAGCCGGAAGTGCATTTAACTGACCATTGCCAGTGACCTACATTTTCTTACCGTGGGTGACTTGACTTCTTCTTTTACCGCAACTTAGTGGCCCTTAGTGTCAATATTGACGATAGTCAGAGGAAATATGTTCATTTATTGAAGTTTAACTTTATTTCCACTCGTCAATATTCTTATCTAAACATACTATGGACGATCGCTCTCCGTGCCGATGTTCCGCTATATTCCTGGTTCGTCCATGGATTTGTCGGGGGAAACCTCAAATAAAGTACGCATCCGGACTTTGGCAACGGCCCGAGACACTTTTGGGATTTTTAAAAATTTAAAAAGTGTGTACTATATTCTGGAATTTACGGTGTATTTCTTGTAATTCTGTACTACGCAACGCCATACATTTTACAAAACTTTTTCGGTGGCCCTCCCCACTCCAGGCCGATTTTTTTCAATGGCCCTCCCCTCGGTTAAAATATTTTTCCTATGGCCCTCCTCCCAGGCCAAAAAAAAAAATTTCAATGGTCCTCCCCCCCAGTGCACCAGCCCTCCCCCCCGGTAAATACCGTACAGTCCCTAAGATTATCTACAGATGTGCGGCACGGACAATGCTGCCCCCGCTCAAAAGGTCAAAAGTTCACCTGTCCTGATACAATACACACTCTGACCCGCGCGCTCTCAACGTAATCACGAGATCTGTTTCCCTGTTACTGTTGATTTATAATACCCTTGGCTCATTAAAACTTTAGAAGAAAAATTAGAATAAAATATAATATCTTGTTCAGTTTTATATTTCTATTTGCCTCAGTAGATTTCTTGCTGTGTTAACTCGGCCGGAGGTTAATGCCCCCCACCCACTTGGGGGCGACCGGCCGCCAGGAGCGCGATTAGTCAGGCCTAAGGTTTGTGCACACGCATGTGCCAAAGTAGTGGGTGCAATTCTGATGCATTCCGCCAGGGGGCGCAGCTGCTTGGAAGTCTTGCATATTCGTGAGGCTGTGGATGTGGGGAGTTCAGTAGCCTGACGTCCTAGACAGGCAAGGTAGACTGGTAAGGTAGCCTGGTAAGGTAGACAGCCCCGAAGAATCAAACGGATCTTGGAAAATTTTTTTTTCCTAGACCCTCCCCCAGTTGAAATATTTTTCCTAGGCCCTCCCCCCATCTCAAATTTTTTTCCCTAGACCGTCCCCCCTCATACGACGGTAACCGACCTATGTTTCGAAATCCCTATGTTCCGAAATCCCTAAGTTCCGAAATCCCTATGTTCCGAAATCCCTATGTTCCGAAATCTTACGCTGCGTCGTCATATACAGCTCCGTGGCTAAGATACAGATGTCAAACCTGTCTTTGCCGACCAGTTGCCGTCGTTTTTTTTCTGGTTCCCGATTTTTCCCGTACACGTACAACGTGCTCAGGGCACAGTGTCGAGGGGACCTGCGTGTTGTGGTTTCAGTAAGTTAGCCAGGCATACTGTAATTACTGACTTTTTAACGATACTGATATGTTCACGGTTTTCATGGTCACTTCTGTACAGTGAACTCATCAAACCGCTAACACTCCTTCGCCCCGAACAGTCATAAATTATTCACGTCTTATGTTTTTCATGTAACGATGTTCCGTATATTTGATACCAAATGCGCTACTGTTGAGTATCAAAATTATTATAGTGCTATGACTAATATTAGAAATCATATTATGAGACACCGAATCGCGTGTCAAGCCGAGTCAACTGCGTACAAAAATCTTAGCGTAACATTACACGCCACGGCCGGGTGCATGAGGTCGCTTATCCCGATAAAATGCGGGCACATCCACAAATTATTTGATCAAAACCTGACTTACTGGGATCTAAAATATTACTGGGTTCTCCTTAATTAGCGGGAGTTCTTTCTTGTTTTGATTGGTAAAATGCAGGGTAAATACGCTAAAAATTTAGCGTGGGTACAAGAAAACCCACGCTGAGGCCCGTACTTCCGGGCAAAGTGCACACCAAAATCACGTCGAAAACGCCAAAAATCCGCATAGAAATATATGTTTCCCCGAAATATTCTCGAAACTATGCATTTCTTTTTTTATATCGATGTGTGGTTGTGAAAAAGGGCATTTTAGCGCTTATATTTAAACAAAGAAAAGTTGTTTACAAGCGCCTCAGCTGGCTCAATTCTACCGCCGGCATTCCTGCTGCTTGACGCAACAACCAATCAGAGACGCGAAATACGGGCACGTGACGCGGGATTTGCATCCAGTCTTAACAATGGGGGAGGGCGCGCGGCGCACGAAATATTTTTGCGTCGTCTCTATTCAGCGGCGTGTTTCAAGAGATAGATACCGGGAAACAAACTTTTCTTGTTTTTGAACATGTATTTTACAAGTTCGTCTTTGAATAGCCGACAAATCCGTGAGATTCTCAGCAGCGCGAGCCATCAGTTTGGCTTGAATTTTTAACTGCAACTACCGAAATATTGACCTCAAATCACCGTAGTGTTTTGCTAAAAAAATGCCACAGCCGGCGATCTTGTGTGACGAAAGAAAAATATTGATTTTATTATGTGCGGTCTGATCAAATATGGGGGATTCGCGGTAGCCTTTCCGGTTATGATCAGTTTCAGTCGCATTTCGGAACATACAGATTTCGGAACATAGGGATTTCGGAACATAGGGATTTCGGAACATAGGGATTTCGGAACATAGGGATTTCGGAACATAGGGATTTCGGAACTTAGGGATTTCGGAACTTAGGGATTTCGGAGCATAGGCATGTAACCCATACGACTGGCCCCCCCTCCCCGGTAAATATCGTACAGTCCCAGTTACAGTGGTTGAGGACTGTTGAGCAATACACAGGAGGACAATATATAATAAATCGGGCATGCGCGACACAGTACGACACATTTTTGTACAACACATTTTTTAATGCGTGTAAACAGCCAGGTCCCCCACCGCACGGCATTTTTTCTGTAGCACATCCAGGAGGTGTGGCGTCGTGTGGCGTAGTGGATAGAGCGTTCGGCGCTCAACAAGGAGCCCCGGGTTCGAACCTGGGTCGGAGCACGGGGGCATGTCCGAACATGCGCACCGACGTTGTGCCCTTGGGAAAGGCACTTTACACGTATCCCCCCTCAATTAGAGGGTCAAGTCTCCAACGGCAGTTGTCTTCAGCTGGCGGACGAGAGCAGCGCCAGGCGGGCTAGCGTGATCAAGGCGGAACTTGAGCGTAACCAAGTCACCGGCAGCTCGCTGCAAGCACCCGAACCGGAACCAGCACGTCTCCCTCGATGGATCCGCTGGGGAAGACGGGTGCCCAAGTGTGTGGGTCTCAGATTCGCAACCTGTTATCCACCTTAAACAAATTCACGCGAAGGCTACCGTGTCAACTGTGACCCTCACTCAGGTGCAGGGACTGACACGGTCATCATACTCGGAAAGTCTGTATATCTGTACATGAATCTGTATCTGTGCATGACTATGTATCTGTACATGACTCTGTATCTGATTACAAATAAAGATCACGAGTGATTGCCAAGACATCCAGGAGGTGCCACAAGTGCATCGCGACACTTCAAGCCCAAACCCATGCCACGCCCATCCGTCTGTATCTATTCTGAGTATCATAACGTGTCAAGTTCTTCTTGCTGTTTCTCAGGATTTTTGGTAGTTCGGATTATTTGCTAAGGAAGGCGGAAGTAAACAGCTGTAACTGGAGCGGTGCTGAAACGTGATGTTTTATCAGGTTGTGGAATTGCAAGGAGAATTGGCAATTTGTATGTCCGTGAGTAAAATGGAATTACAGAAAGAAGGAGGCATTACAGTAACTGATAAACATTTGCATATTAATGCAATATAATTTTTGGTACCTCAGGTGACCGTTGCCCTGTCCTGTCCAATGTTATCATTCTCCTTGGGAAGATATATATTTGTTTTTAGGACAGTTAGTAGAAATTCTTCAATCAGTGACTGTATTTTTGTAAGGTAGATTACGTACCTCCAAGTTGTTTTTAGAAATAAGAAATATTCTTTAAATTTGTCTGCCTTCAAATCTTTTGTTTCTTACATGTAATCTGAACATCGCACACAGGCAAGATAAAAGTTAGTACTACATAAACATAGGGGTAAGTGGGGAAATTTTAATACTGTATTCTCTGGTTGTCATGTATGTCTTCAAGCCATCTTGAAGACAATACGTGACGGGCTTTAGGTCTCGGACCGGAGTTTCTTTCCGTGTTCGGAGCAATTTGACACCCTCAGCCCGACGGGCTGTCATTTCTGTACTAAACGCGGGTCAGAATTTTTCACTCTTTTGGTGGAAAGGGGTGCTGTGCCACTTATCAATACACTTGATTGATATTTTGGGCGCCCAATTTATTTAGAGGTAAATACAGCACATCAAACTACATTTTTGAGTAAGGGGTCTTTTTTTCGTAATTTTTAACCATGGCTGCATGGAAAAAACGAATTTTCCCAGGGTGACGGCTTAGTACTCGAAGAAGCTCAGAACCTAATGTTTCCAAAATTTGAATTTAATTAAAATCGATGCGATACGTTTACCGCTATCGATGGCCCAAACACACGCACAACGCATATAGAAAGTACTATCCCGGCGTTCGGGCGAAAAGGCCACCATCCGCGCGGACTAATACCAGGAAGTCTTCGCTGGACCACCAACATTTTGCCACCTATAAAGGCTACAACTAACAGGCTTTTCTGAAAATACAAAGATATGTACACAGATATTACGATTTCAGGGATATCGCGGCCAAAACATACGATACAAAGTCACGTTTCCGGCAATTTACCGCGCACTTACTTAGACTCAGGTCAGATTTAAACTCGAGCTTTGGCCACAAAACGATTATATAGTCTTCTTGACAAAGACAATGACTACCGGTATCCACAAATCACTAACAGCTACCGGTGGTCTTGTCAGAAAGGGCATTTTGGCTGTAATTTCTTACAGTGGCCACCTTTCTTTGTACATTAGCTAAGAGGCATCCATAGGAGCAAAAGTAAGTATGGCATGGAGAAAAAGGTGCAATTTGAATAATTCAAAAAATTTTTGTGTGCACCAAGCTTAAGGTAAGGCCATGATGATTTGATTATATGGATGACATCCACTGGGAAACCCAAAACTGAAGCAAGCATGCGAATGAAAAAAACGTTCGGCAAGAAAAAAAACTGCTTCATTAAGAAATCTACGTGATCATGAAGGTCAAACAAATGACACAAGAGTATCGTATGGCGAATAATCTGCTGTTCAAGTTCATTTTTTTACATCTTCGTCTTTTTCGTTTGATTCTGGCATTCTATGACATTGGTATCGTTTACCAACTTACGGTATGTATTAAAATTTAGGTTTTTTGCAACTGTTTTGTATGATTTACAGTATGTTAAACCTTTTTTTTTTGACACAGCTGAAAATTTGTGCGCATGTGGATGTTATCCATATAATCAAATCAATACGGCCTAAGTTAAAACAGCAAATGGTAATGTTACTGTGGGCAGGATGTCTACGATGTCACAGAACTTGGGCCTCTTGGCAGGTTCGTGTTCCCAACACTGTCTCATGAGTTCGTAGTACTTCTCTGGGCAGAAGTCAGGCTTCTCTAGGCGCTGGCAGTTGGGTGCATCAACGGCTTCCAGGATCTACATGTATGCAATATCAACAACAGAGGACATGTTAATGGCAGAATACATTCTTGTCTCACTCTTACAATCACATACAAGTTTTTATTACCTTCACCAACAAGGTTATGTTTTCAGTACTGTTTGTTTGTGTGTTGTGCGTGTGCATGTATATATGTATGTCATCATTGTCATGTATGAGTTTGGGTTGTCAGAGATGTGCTGCTGTATATAGTTTGACTTTTATTTTGCTGGTATGTAAACCAAAGGATGTGTGTGATACGTAAGTTGGAGTACAGCAGAAACACACCTTATACCAGTGCAGAAATATTCTGACAAGTCACAATGTTTGTGACTGTCGTCACTACTGGGTGTATCTTTTCGGGTTTGGAGTGCTGTGGATTTATCATGTTGGTGGTTTCATTGACTTGCACGCTACTGGAAAGAGTTGCAGTGCCAAGGTCGTGGTCTACTGTTTATGCTCGCACTGGGAAAATATGTCCCGAGACAAAAGTCAATATCTGTTCCTCCGGCCAAAATTCTGTTCAGCCCACCCACCCCCCCAACCGGCTGTGAACATCTGTTCAGTACCTTGATCTACATTCGAAGCTAGCTAAATTTCAAACGTAAAAGTGCCCCTGCAATACCTTAGAAAGCCACTAGAGTGCCCAAATTCGTACTCAACCTTCTTTTTCCACACTACAACCTACCTACAAAAACCTGTTTAAAAAATGTCCACAACATCAAAAGTTGCGGATGTATTTTTTACATGGATGTCTAACCTTCACTGACATAACATCAAAAGTTATCCCGCCTAGTCACATTCCGTCATATATAGCAATGACCACAGGAGCTCCAAAAAAGCAGCCATTTTGCTGACAATCACGCCAGATACGTGTACTTTAACTGCCCAAGCATCTATGTCCCACTCAAAAATCAAGATCAAGATGTCCACAGCACAAAATATCATACCTAGGGATGTGTACCTAAACCTAGAATCAGGTACAGGTACAGGTACAAAGGATCACGTACAGGTCTAAAGGTCCGGACCTACATGTATACCCATATGGGAACAACTTGAGTCTTTTTCAGGCATAGGTAAAATTGCATGTTGGCAAAAATTTTAGGTGCAATTTTAACAATTTACTTTGGAGGATCCTGCAAAAAATTTTGTAATATGGAGAATGCTCAGACAAAATAAAATATGAGCAAAACTAAGATGTTTTTGTTTCCATCTCCTACCCTAAGTGGGAACTTACATTGTAAACCTGATCAAAGTGACATCTAGAGGGAGCATACACTATCTAATACACAACAAATCTGTCAGGGTTGTTGTCTTCGTCAGAAAGACTATGGAATTGTCTCGCCGCATTGTGGGTGACTGCTGATTTAGAGGGGCCCCGTTTGTGGAGTGATCTTACAATATTATGCAACAAAATTGGCCAGGTGGTCACATTGGACAGGTTGCTTAATGCTTGCATCAATGGGAAAATTTTTAGGACCGAGAAAAAGCAGTCACCATGGCCAGGTGGCCAGATTGAAGAGGTGGTCTTCTTGGCAGGTCTGATTGTACATACACACACACACACACACAAACACACACAGACACATACACACATATACACTCATAATCTATTAATATTCCAGGTTTAAAAATTCTCATCATGAAACATAGTTCATTTTTCATTCTGACAGCATAGAAAGAATTCTCTGACAGCATAGAAAGAATCCAGAAAAGGGCCTGTAGAATCATGTTGGGTAGAAGCTATCACTCATCCTCCGAGGCCCTGCTAACTCTTGACCTCCAACGTCTGTCTGAACGCAGACTGACTCTGTGCCCTCTCAGCTACGAAGTCTAGACATGCCCCCTGGCTACCTCCAGTCAGTAACCACTCACACAACATGCAGCTAAGGCAAACACGGCGCTACAAACTGCCTACTGGGACAAAGAGATACTTATTATATAAGTAGCCCTACAACGCTGAATAAATTATTATATATTGAATACCCTTACCATATAGATTATATTTTATTTCACTTGACTGTATATGATGTAATAGTATTTTATTATTGTCAGTAATACTTAATATGTAATTTGTAACTGAATTTGTAGTTGTAATTTTAACATAAAATGTGCACTAGTCTAGCGCAAAAAGTGATGTTTATACACATGCATATGATGTTTATTTTTTGTTGTCTAGTTAAAATAATATGAATTACCTTCTTGTACTTGTGGAAAAATGTTCCTTTTGTATTCACAATTAGCCCTTGGGGATGAGTTTACAATAAACAATCATAATATAGACTTAGCTTTAAGGTCTCATTCATGTATTACTCCGATTGTACCCCCTTAAAGAGTACCAAGTCAAAAACTAAACGGCTCATCATCATGATCAGTATGAACGTGTGTTTTTATTGGTGAGAATTTTCCCTTTAGCCATCCCAACTGATGTAAAACGTCAAAGCGGTGAAAGCTTGTTTGTAACTGATGAAATTGGGACGTAATTGTCGGCAGCCGCGCGCTAGGTCGGACGTGCACAGTCCAGTGTTGTGAGTTGTGCGGTCGTAGGTTTACAGCGCGGGAGGGCCTCTTGCAGGCAGCCGCTCAGTGCAGTTTATACCTTAAAGTTTGTTAATTTTGTGGGCACCTTTGTTGTTTACGTACAACGCTGGATTATGTTCAGATTATTTTGTGCTTTTTTTAGGTCGACCTCTGACCTCTCCTATTGATTTTGAACTTACTGTATTATTTTGTAATCATCATTATGTACAAGTTTTGTTATTTATGTTTCATTTTATTGACCCCAGGAAGAATAGTGCTTTTAAGCACTAACAGTTGAAGGGCAAACGGTCGAATATTCTATTCCACTTCCGGGGTTTTCTAAAACCCGGCAGACTGCTCTGGGACCGAGAACAGCGTTGGCGGAACGAGAGCAGATATTAGCCTGCGACTTTAACCCTTTCTTCCCAGAAATAAACAAGACGAGGCCAGTTATGGCGGTGAAATCTTACTTACTGTAACATAAGGATCAATTTGAGATAGTTTTTGCGGCTCATTGACCGATAGTTTACATCCGATAACGCTGTGAACTTTTGGGTGTGATTTGAGGGGTGTTGTGGTAACCCAGGATTTCTATTTTGGTTCTGCGCTCTCACCCATCTTTTCGGCATCCAATTGTGGTATAAAAGTACAAGGCAACTGTTGCAGAAAATGCACAGAAAGTTTCGTTTGGGATCATATAGGTGGTGTTAGGTTATTGTTTACCGATTGGTGTTGAAATTTATTTCTGCGACCCAGGCGTGGTGCCTGTTCCATGATTTCACAATCACAATAAGTTTGGTATCATAGGAAAGGAAATTTCATAAGCGTTTTAATGATATATGATACTGTACCATTGAAATTGATAAAGAAACAATGGAAATATGATCGAACAAAGTTGAGTAATCCTAACTTTTTGCGCCAAGTTTAGTTCCATGGTTACTGCTGCAGAGCGGGCGCTGCGGTCTGACGTTCACTGGTCTATTTTGGTCCCGCAGTATCAGTCATTAAAAGCGTGTAACTTATCAATCTATATATGAAAATAAAGCTGATGTTTATGGGAATTAGTACACGTAGGTTTCAAGAGGGACTAGAATGCTACCTGTTCATTACAATCCTAGAAACATAACTAAATTTGAACGCACGAGGAATAGCGTCTCTATGCCGGAGTGAATATTTTCTATATGAGTTCTGCGCTCCCCCATAATCAAGTCGACAATAAGCTATACATCAAATAAAAGCCATGGTTTCTAAAAATTAGCACACGAATTTTCATGATGATTCATGATCTCTGTGTGCTTACAATGCCACTACAGTTTTGACCACGATTTCATGGAGAGCGACGGTGCGCGGAGGTAGAACGCGCTGGGTACGGCGTCGTCATATAACAGAGTGAACATTACACGCCTTCGACTGTCGTGCAACTTCTACAATTTAAACCGCCATTAAACTATGTATTGAGGGAAAGCCAAGGTTTGTGATGAATCAGAATATCAATTTTAAGAGGTTTAATGAATTCTTGGCGCTTATGACGGTGACAAAGACGTACATTAAGTCCCCCGGTTTCTGCTCCGCATTCCACCATGGAACACAAAGGACGCTGCGGTTTTAACGGTGTTAATCTTGTCTATTTTGGTTCTGCGCTCTCTCCCATTAACAACGGTATCAATCTATATATCAAATTAAAGCTCAGATTTTACGGAATCAGCACACACAGTTTCAAGAGGGATTATCAATCCTATCTGCCGAAAGCAACTGTACAAACATGGCCGTAAAATTAGCAGATTTCAACGCACAACTACTACAACTGTTATTCATCTCTAACAAAAATTTTGAACACGGTCGGACTCGTCAAAGCCTTGTCCTTTAGCATGCCAAAATTCAAAAGGAAACACAGAGCCATCTTTTTACCACGCGTGTAAACGTAAAGGGTGCTTTCACGGGGAAGCGCCCAGCGTCAAAATCGCACTTTTACAAAATAAGCGTGTTCTAGAGCATTGGCCCTTCGACTGTAATGGGGATCGAAATAAACAAACAAACAAACAAACAAATTCTCATAAAAGGGGATTGTGTGTATAGAAGTCGTTGACAATTTTTTTATGAGATGTAGAGTAAGTGTGCTTAACATAGCATGTACGATATCAATTGATTTACAATTTAATGTAGGATCATAGGGAACACGGTCTCGTAAGTCACTCATTAATGCATGGGTTCTAATGTATTGAAAAAACTCATGAATGAGACCTTATCATCCAAAATATGGTACTGTACAGGACTAGTAAACATAACCCTCTTGGCACATGTTACAAAACAATGTATTACTACAAGTATATTGGGTATATATTTATTGGGTAATTACGATACGTGGGCATAGTAATTACCCATGTTAAGTTACTGTAGCTCTAAACATGTCTTACCTGTGCACCAGTCAGTGCTGCCCATGGCTGAAACCCATAACAGAACATCTCCCATAGCGTCACACCAAAACCCCAAACATCACTGGCTGACGTGAACTTCAGATAGTTGATAGACTCAGGGGCACACCTACAATACGACAAAACAGTAAAAATCACTCTACAGTAGCAATCAACTTTAAGACAGAATGCAGATAGTGGGTGGGTCTTGTGAAGACATTTAGGTCAAGGTCAAATTTGAGCCTCCTGGTGGCTGACCTTGATACTGCAGCGGATCTTCTAAATTTTGTATATTTCATCCTGGCCATGCTACGGTCTTGATTTGTTGTGGCTGATACATGTAGCTTTTCATGTCAAAAACAAGTGGTATGGGTTTGTCCCCCTAACAGCTTCTTCTAGAACTGAAGAAAAGTTTCTGGAGGAAATATTTTTTTTTCAAAGTGGATAAATCGAGAAAGGAACAATGGACTTCTATGATTTTTTGGCATGAAGGTAGCTTAGACACATTCAATCAGATGTAAATGAGGAAATGCTATGTCATGTGATTTATGTAAAATAATTTTCATAGATGATGTGAGAATTCTAAAATTCCAGTATTGTACATACATTGTACATGTCATAGCCTAAGGATACATTACAATCATGTAGTCTATGACAGGTAGAACATGAGCAAATACAACTTGTGCAAAATAAAGGCCTAATTTGCATAATCAATACTAAAATCTTGCGAAATGAGGTCTCATTGAATCTTATTTGGATTTGAGTCATTGATTATAGAAATACATGTAAGGCTGCTGTAATTAGCATAATTTTAATTTATGTTTTTTTTTCAACTCAAATTGCATTATATTTTGTACATGAAATCCCTTCATCTTAAAGTTTATCCTTTGGCAAGGTTCAATTTCAACATTTCATCGATAATTATCGAAATGACTTCTGCATTACTATAATATATGTATAGTAAATTCTCCAAGTGAAAGCAATTCAATCTGTGCTCATTGTCAGTGAGAAGTTGTCAAGGACAATGTCGTGACATATCTAGACAGACAAATCAAAAACAATACCTCCATTTTTCATGTTGGTAATAAGAGAAATTGTCTCACCATGCTAAAGGCAACTTGAGATTGACATTGAAGTTTGTTTGGTAGTAGTCCTTCCCTACTCCCAGGGCTCTTGACAAGCCAAAGTCACTTATCTTTACCTACATGTAAAGTACATTGACAAAAAAGAATAAGTTAATGTCACAGCGGGATTTATGGTACCTGTATGTTGGGGGACAAATATAATTGTACTTTAATAATCAAAAATACAATTATAACATACATTGTACTGTAATCCAAAAGCAAAAAACTTGACAAGTCACACGCTTCTAACTATCTGCAGCTTGAAAGGAACCTGGTCTGTTCTGGTGTGACTTTGCACTGAACTTTTCTTGATCTAACCTTGCCTCTACTGTACTTTTCTTGTGATCTAACCTTGTCTCTAATGAACATTTCTTGTGATCTAACCTTGTCTCTACAGTGTATGTTTCTTGTGATCTAACCATGGGCGATAGGCCACCGAGTTTTTGTTGAGATCGCTGTTGCTTTGTTTTATGAACACACGTATACTGTGCACTCCATACACGATTCCCGATAATAATACACTGAACACAAACACTAATAGTATGAACACGGTCCGTTGAAAGGTTCCGAAGAGTCATGCACTCAACACATAACACCGTGAACACAGTCCGTCGAAAGATTCCCGAGAATCATACACTCATCACATAACACCGTGAACACGGTCCGTTGAAAAAATTCCCTAGAATTCTCCGTACAAAGAACCATACATATATAATACATACTGCTGGGTACTTGGTCCACTGAATCATACAATAAAAAGCACACTCATTACTCAGCTGTTACAGCGGCGTTCATGGTTAGAAGATTAGGTATCGCAAAGGCCGACGGGAATAGAACAGGTTTTGCAAACTCGAACGCGTTCGCAAACCGCTGCTCGACTCGATAGAACCCCAAGCCGGGGCTAGCGCTAGCGGTGATAACTTCAAAAAGATGACAGGGTAGGAAACACCCACCCGTGAACTGCGTTACCAACTGGGGTGGCAGCAAAAATGTGACTTAGAAT